GTGGGCTACAGTCGGCCGTTCGCCACATGTTGGCCTTTTTTGGCGCAGGTGGTTCCAGATGGGTGTACCGGTCCCGTTTGTCTTGGCGTCGGACATACTTTGGCATGGGGTGTCCTGTCAAGGCGGAGCTTAGTACTAGCGGGGCACAGCTGCTCGCTTCCTGGCAATCGCAGCATACATTATCAATAGGACTTCCTCAAGTGCCATCAGTGTTGATAGGAGCCTCCAGTTAAATGGCTTACTGGACTTCCGCCTGTACTACTTTGACGATGGAGAGAGAAGCCAAGCGATCGGCAGCAGGCAGCAATTTCCTGAGCTCCTCCCTGATCATGTCGCGGATTGTATCTCGAATGCTCGGAAAGAGACTTGTGCGCCAGCATCGAGGCTGGCCAACGCGGGGCAGAGACGTTGGGCGATTGTTGGCAGTGGGTGCCTCGTGCTTGGAGGGCCCGTTCGGCGTTTGTGGCCTCCGTCACGAATGCCCGGACGGCAGGTGGGTTTCGCACAAGGCTCCCGAAGATGCTTTCCTTTACTCCTTGCATGAGGATCTTGAGCTTCTTCACTTCCTGCGCTTGTAGATCCAAGCGGTTAAATAGTCAAAGGACGTCTTCGACAAAGCTGACAACGCTTTCATTTGGTCCTTGAATTCTCACCTGGAATGGATTTTTCGGCGCATTCCCGATGCTGCTGGCTCGCAAAGGTGTGGCGTAGCTGCTCTTCGCACGTTTCCCAGGAGGTGACCGACACTTCAGTTTTCGAGCCAGAGATGCGCCATTCCATCTAGTGAGAAATAGATGTTCTGGACGCTCTGCTCTAGTGTCCATCGGTTATGCCATGCCACACATTCGTACTGCTGTATCCAGTCGTCGACGTTTTCGTAAACTTTGCTGTGGTAGGGTGCCGGCGTACGAAGTGTGACAGGCAGGAACACGACGGAGGATGCAGCAGCAAAAGTCTTGGTCGAGGAAGAAGTCTTGGGAAAACATTTCCATGTTCGTCGACTTCTTCCTTGGCTGTTTCACCAATGGACCGAATTCCAGCGGTTTGCCTTGAGTATGGCGACTTGCTCGGGCTTTGTCTGGCTCCACAGAAGAAAGGTTTCCAGGGCTTGAAATTAATCTGGTCCGGCGGCTCCTCAAGGGCGTACGAGGAAGGGACATAGAAAGTTACCCCGCTCCCCTCCTAGAAATGTTGCGGCTGGAAAACGATTAACAAACGTAAAACTAAAGATTAAGGTTTAATCAGCAAACTCGTGCCAGAAACAAAGGAGAGAATGAGTGTCGAAAAAGCAGAAGCGAACTTCGAAGCATCCGGATGACAGCTGGCTAGGGCAAGACTGACTCGGCCAGGTCATGCTGGGTTCTTTATCTTGTACTCCTTATCTATCGAACATTCGGCCTAGAGTGTTCAAGCATCGAGCACTTGGGGCGGAGAGTAAACATGAATCTTCTAAAGTATGGAGAAGAATGAATGAATAAAAGTAATGTCCAGCACTGGGCATTGAACCGCGGACGCCCGCGTGAGCCACGCGAGTTCCCTCTCAGCCATGCACGCAGCAATATTTTGGATTTGGACAATGGTGTGGGCAATCAGGTTAAGATTTGTCTCCTTAAAACCGCTCCTGATGTGTCCTTTTCGGAAGAAGTTCCAAATAAAGGGTGGTTGGACTTTTGGGGATCAGGTTTATGGTTACAAATGGTTTTTGTTGGGAGTTTGGGAAGGCGGGCTCAAAACGTTTTTTTTTCTAGGTCAAGTTGTCATTCACGAATTGTGAAGAGGGTTGCGTTCAAGCCTGGGGGTATTAATGAACGCTCTGAAATTTTCATGCGTGCACCGTGTAGTGCCTCGCATGGAAAAACAGCTTGGCAGGTTATCGTTGGCGAATTATAGTAGGAGGCATGTGTCACCTGTTATTTTCTAGTTATGAACTTGTGCTAAGAGGCAGCTTGTAGAGGGCTTATATAAAAGCAAGGTCCTCTGCTTGCCTTACTTTCACACGGTTTCCCACTACCTGAAGCCGACTGCAAGTAGGTTCGACGTGCCTCTAGGTTTTAAGCAGTATTTTTGTTCGGATAGATTAACACCCTTAGACGTAAAGAGTGGCAAGAAGCATGGAGGACCGTCAGAGGCTTGGGACCCTGGAGTTATTTATGAAATCCCTGTGATATGTGGTGCTAGCTATGTAGGTCAGACCGCCAGGTGTCCCAACGAGAGGTTATGTGAACACAGGCCTGCAGTAAAAGATAGAGGTGAATCTTCAGAGCTGGCTAAGCATGTTTCTAGTAACTCCAATTGCTGTGTTGTTTAGAACGAGACTAGAGTTCTAGATAAAGGGAAGAATTGTTACAAACAGCTCGCAAGGAAGTCTTTACATAGCTAGCAAGGTTTCATGTTTTAGGAACATGTCTGTGCTCTTCAACGAACCTGTTAAAACGTTTTATAATTCTTAATATTCTTTTCCTTTTTTTTTTGGTGTGGGGGTAATCCAAGTTGGGTAGTTTTTCCCTTTCCCTTTGTGTTCAGTATGTGTGGCCAGGTTTTTTTTTTAATGTTTGGGGAACATGTGGGGTGATGCGTGCTTTGGGTTTCTTTTGCATTGGTGTCCTTAAATGGTTTTGTTCCTTAGTGTGGTGATTAAAAATGTTAATTATTTTCCTTTTTTTTCTCTTTTGTTTTGTTTGGTGTGTACTTCTCAAGGTTCTGGGCCTATTTAAGTATGATTTGGCTTAATAAAACTTCAGCTGCGTTTTGTGCTCTTGTTGTCTGTTGCGTTTTCTCTTCGCTCCTGGGTTACAAAGTCAGTATTGAACCAGCTCGCCTGCACACCTGGTAAGAGGTGGGAGGGGAAGCTCCTCCCACTTCTTTCTATTTTAGTAGAGCGAATGTTGGAGAGGAAGCGACCTCCTCTCCAGCGTTCGCTCTGTCTGCTAAAGTGGAAAAGGGTAGGAGGAGCTTCCACTTTATTCTTTCCTGACCACGGGAAAAGTAGCAATTTTTAAAGAATCTGTGCAAACGCTTCTATTTTCTTAACTAATTTGCGTATAGAGCAGGGGTGGCCAAGCTGACCCAAACCTAATAGCCGCAAACAAAACAACAAAACTTCCAAGAACCGTGCGGGGGGGGGGGGGGGGGGGAGGGGGGGAGGGCAAACTTTTGTTTAGAGCAATGAACAAAACTCTAACTACTTTCAATCTCCTAGTCCAAAGCAGTCTCACAGTACGTATGGTAGCAGCAGCACAAGACTACCAAACCGCAACCTGTCTTTCGATTTAAAACGGATTCCATTTCTCTTTTAGGGGAAGTGCTCGTGCGACCGGGAAACAGACGGGGTAGGGGAGGAAGTTGCAAGCCGCACTTTAACACGCGAAGAGCCACATGCGGGTCGCGAGCCGCAGCTTGGCCACCCCTGGTATAGAGCAATAGGACAGATCAAAATATGGCCAATTATAGTTGTTCTACCAAAAGAAACAGGTTGGTATAATGTAAGAAAAAGATTTTAAAATTTTATTTCTTAAAAATACAATGTATGCGCAGAAGGCACATACATAAACGCCGAAATTCTACAGCTATGTCAAATTAAACGACAAATAAAAGAAAAATTTCAAACATACAAAATGTGCCCCACACCCACCGCCATCACCTCTGAAAGTTGGTGCACTCTAAATGACGTCCATTTTTGGTTTGTCGGAGAGTTAGCCTCCGTGAAACGTGTGCTCTTAAGCGAAGGAAAGCTTATATTGATGAGACGCAAATAGTATACCTCACATCCCCAGAAGAATGCTTTCTTTGGGTTCTACCTTGGTTTTGTGATAGCCTTGATTGCAGCTTCTTCCTATAGAGAATTTTTGACCGCCTTGCGAGGGAGCATAAAATGTGCATGGCTATGAAACGTGCAAGGCGATTACTTTTCAATGTGGTGCACGGAGGGTATCTCCGCACTCGCGCACCTTCAGCGCCTAACAAAGCTATGCACGTACGAGCGAGACGCGCTTAGCGGCCGAAAGATCTCGGTATGACGTTAACAACTTATCGGAGGTTTTTCGTGTTTTCAAGCGTTTATTTGCATATTCGGGAAAAACAAACGTGATAGTCACGACGAAAATAATCCCTGGAGAAGGGGAACAAAGGGACAAAGGACAAACACAAATCTCCAAACACAGCTAGGTGACTGGTGAGTGACCGAAAAAATCCGCCTGGTCCGGGTATCGAACCCGGGACCTCTCCAATACACGTGGAGCGCTCTACCAACTGAGCTAACCAGGGGTTAGATGTCGGTAGAGCAAACGGGTTTTATCAGTCGCCATTAGTCTAACACCAACAAGGGTGAAGCTTGCAATTTAATGTTATAATTATAATGCAATTAAATGCAAAGGGGCAAGCGACCTGGACAAGAATGACGAAAATAATCCCTGGAGAAGGGGAACAAAGGGACAAAGGACAAACACAAATCTCCAAACACAGCTAGGTGACTGGTGAGCGACCGAAAAAATCCGCCTGGTCCGGGTATCGAACCCGGGACCTCTCCATTTCCAGTGGAGCGCTCTACCAACTGTCCAGCTCGCTTGCGCCTTTGCATTTAATTGCATTATAGTGATAGTCAGACTCCCGCATTAAAAATACTCTAGAATTAACCTCTAACTCATTTTTATTTTTTTTCTTAAGGATTTTATTTTGTATTATTATTTTCTGTTACACGATCATAATCTCAGATCGTAACATTGTTATGACAACGTACTTTTTTTTTTTTGTCGAGTAGTTTGTTTTGATCGACAGCTGCTTTGCGTCTTATATATTAGTAGCAGGATATGAGGTATTCACGACTCTGAAAATGTAAAGTGGAGCAATCAACTATTCTGCTTCTTGCGTAATTACTAGGCGTAGCATGGAAAACTCAACTCAGCACCCGCACGCGGAGCAGGAATGTCATGCGACATTCTAGCGAACGTGTAGAGATAAAAAAGTGAAATTGCGTAACAAGGAAACGATAGAGAAATACTTACCTCCGGGCACCGACAGCAAATGTTGCGGTTCCACCAACACATGAAGTATGCGGTTGCTTGCTCACTTCCTGGGAAAGAGAGAACAATGGGGCTAAGAAATATGAAGCATTATATGCTTCACGATTAACAACTAGCCTAACCGCGCAATGCAGAATCAATACCAACAATCGATCCGCGCGTCTTCACCGGCACTTGTCAAGCTGACTTGAGCAAGTATAAGGGAGAACTGCAAGGAGCAGCGAGTTTAGCAGCTGATAATGGCCAGGTAGAGAGGCACGCTCATATCGCAAGTTCAGTGCACTGCACCTTGCAACGCCGGAAGAGAGCTATGGGGCGTGAACCACTACGCAGAAACATAAACACCTGCGAGACATACAAAAACGTGCTCCGCGATCCGCCAGCTCCGCAACGACGACTGGACGAGTGCCCGATTTTAATAACACACAAGCAACAAACATAAAGAAAATCACCTGACGCAGCATACAGCTGAGAGTAGCAACAACTACGGCGAGCACTTTGACGCTCTAATTGGGTAACAGTGGGTCACGTGCCTCGCTGTAGCGAAAAAAGATGTCGCTGAATCCTCGTGTTTTGTATCTTTACCAATACAATTCATTTGTTACTTAAAAAAAAAAAAAAAAAAGATTAGGGTGACCAGGGGAACCTAGAGGGCCAGAGGCGTTGGCTAGAGGGTAATCAAATCAGTCAGGACAAGGCAGGGTCATGACGCGCACTCCGCGTTGTGCGCATTGAAGAACGAAACCGTAACCACCGGAATGTGAAACGAGTGATCACTTTTAAAAATAGGCCCTGCCCGTTCTTGCTAGCGCAAAGTACCGCACGCTTCAAATAGGTCATCAGCTTTAGAAGGTGATCTTTTGGCGCGTTTTTGTGCAAACAAAGCACGGTGCCCTTTGAAACGGGCGCCGTGTTTTTTTTGTTTTTTTTTAAGGAACGGACCCGCGCGTCCGTACCATGGATAGTACTGCATGCAGCTTGTGAGATGGTGTTTTCGAATGAGAACTGTTGTATTCCGTAGTGTTGGCGTGCACACGAAGAATACACAAAACAAATTGGGAGTGCTTTCGCGCAAACGATAAAGAGTAGTTTCACGTCGTCGTACAAGCACATAAAACTCTGCTCACCGTTAGACGTTCCATTCAGCTTGCTTCTCTACACGCTGAAATGCTTCCAGCCACGTTTGGCGACTGCATGAATCTCTCGACCCCTCTACCTTTTCACCTTCCTTGTGGATCGAAAATGAAAACAGCGAAAACATGTCCTAACTACGGGTGCCGCGAACTTTTGTCAAACCGGATTTTTACGCCGAATTTTAGGGGTTCGACTGGGTCAAACCGCTTCGGCGAACCTTCGATCTTTTCACCAGATTCGACTAGGGGTGTCGCGAACCCACCGAGGGTCGAGTTCGACCAGGTCGACTTTTTCGAACTTTTAGTGGAATGTTTAACAAACCTTGTATTGAGGTTCGACACGTCTGCGCATGCGCGGCAGGCTGGCCAGGTTGCTTCGGATTGGATGGTAATGGCTAAGGGATTAATTAAGTGCGGCGCTGATTGGTTATTTCACTTAATACACTACAAAAAAATTAAGTTATCAACTTCTTCAGTGATTAGATTTGGTTTCTTTTAATTGCAACTGTTCATAAAATTAAAATAACCCTTTGGATAAAAAAAAAATTCTCCAAACCTAGTCATGCTTGTATCAAGGTCTGGCTACACTGTCCACAAAGTCGAATCGGTCGAATCTGGTCAAAAGTTCGAAGGTTCGTCGACCGGTTCGACATAGTCGAACCCCGAAAGTTCGACCTAAAAATCCGGTTCGACAAAAGTTCGCGACACCCCTAGATTCGACCGGTTGGACTTTGCGGACAGTGTGGCCAGACCTTAATACAAGAATTTCTAGGTTTGGAGAATTTTTTTTTTTATGCAAAGGGTTATGTTATTTTATGAACAGTTGCAATTAAAAGAAACTAATTCTAATCACTGGAGAAGTTAAAAACTTATTTTTTTTTTTGTACTGTATTAATGGAAATAACCAATCAGCGCTGCCCGTAATTCATCCCTTAGCCATCACCATCCAATCCGAAGCCAACTGGCCAGCCTGTCACGCATGCGTACACGAGTCGATTCTCAATACAAGGTTTGTCGAACTTTCCACCAAAAGGTCGAAAAAAGTCGAACCTGGTCAAACTCGAACCTCGGCCGGTTCGCGATACCCCTAGTCCTAACCGGAAAAAGACGACACGTCACGTCCGGTCGCTCGCTGATTGGCTCAAGCTCGGCGCGCGACCTTTTTTCAATACAAAATTAAGTAAAAAAAACTCATCCCACGACGCACGTTTTTCCGCAGTGTGAATGCGCCTTTAAACATTCATAATGACCCTGGAACGAGGGATATATTCGGAGTTTCGTGTCTGTCCGCCCCCCCCCCCCTCTTTTTTTCTTTTGTCTCCCTATTCCAGGTTACTCGCCTGCTTACTTTCTTTCCTCCGGCGATTTTTTATGGTCGTTGATTTGCCTCAAAATTGTCTTAATACACTTAAACTACCAGTTCCCCAAGTATTGTGTGAAAAGAAAACCATTTCGCGAAGTTATTGAATTTTCGAATTTTGTTTTCATCGTGTTTCTAAAACCGGGAGCACCTACTGGCAACAATGAAATGTCGCGAACTTTTGTCGACCCGTATTTTAGGTCGAACTTTCGGGGTTCGGCTGGGTCGAACCGGTTCGACGAACCGTTTTGCTCCCGTTCTCCGTCTTGTCAAAAAAAAAAAAAAAAAAAAAAAAAACCAATGCTTAATTTTTTTGTTGTTAAAGATGTTGTTGTTTTGCACTTTGACGCGAAATAGTTGAACTTATTTGACTACTTCATTTTGACAGGGGCAAAACCGTCCTTTTGTATTTTAACTCAAAATATGCCCCATGAAAAAAAAAAAATGTTTTTGTGGAATTTTGTTTTATATTTTTTTATTGCGGGTGCATTCTATTTAGCCAGCAGTTGGCCTATTTCATTCCCAGCATTTTGTGTCAGTGATAGGTTCAAACATCAAAAGCTAAAAAGTGCAGAAAAAAAACAACCTTGAAACATTATATTATTTTTTTTTTTACACGTAAACAATTTTTTGTTTACAACGGGTATATGTATTCTTAGTCTGATAGGTGCTCCAACGAGTGTTGTCCCGATGTACCAGATTGTCGCACGCCTGCAGAATGCGCTACCCCACCTTTTAAAGGTGAGCTCTGGCGAAATTTCGGTAGTCAACATGACCCATGACCGCAACAACATGACCCATGACTGACAACCCCCAAAATGTTTTTTTTTTTTCAGGCGATCTATTATGGCGTCAGCGCCCAATGTTTTGTTACAGCCTGACGTATATTGTTAATGAAGTCAAAAAACGTAACTGCTCGAAGCCGAAACTGAACTGGGGAGGAAGTAGAAATATAGAGGAAGAGAAAGTTACCGGAAGTGACGTGGCTGTGCAATTTTTTATTCTTCAATCAACATATTTGCAGATTTTTAGAAGCCACAAAAAAAAAATGGGTAACATATTTTTTGTCTATTTTTAGTATTGAGTGTGTGCCTTCGATGACCCACGACTTTGGTTATCATTGGTGATTGTGTCTAAACCACAAAAACGGCACGTGAAAGAAGATGAGAGTGAGCGTAACTCAAACCAGCCGGTTCTCGATCGGCGGTTTTTGGGTGGAAAGAAAACTAATTTCGAGGTAGCAAATTCGGTTCTGGGTAGCAGGGCTCTCATATGTCATGTACAAGTAGAAACCTTGGCGAGCATAAATACCCTGTCAGTGTCCCTTTAAGCCCTAACTACAAGGCACAGCCTTTTATTCTTTTTTTTTCAGAAGTTATTGGTTTATTTTTTTTTTTTTCACATGTTATGCTGAGAGGCTCTACTGGCCACACTGAAAACGTGACGTCAAACGTTGTTATAGGGGGCAGTACAAGTTGTTCCCTAAGGGTTACAAAAAGTATGATAATCTGAAAGGAAAGAAAATACTGTCTTTCTACATGGAGTCGAACCGGTCATTATTGTGGTTCGGTTCGGGTTCAGTGACGCGTTCGAAATAACGGTTTGTTTACCGGCTCCACCAGGAGCGAACCGGTTAAAAACGGTCCTTAAAAAAAGAAGCTCACGCTCCCGGACAGTCGTTAAGAAAAAGTGTGTTCAACACAAAGACATCTAAAAAAACACAAAAAACAGGTCATTTGTGTTTCGGAAACGAGGACAAAAAAACAACAACAAATATATGCTTAATTTTGTTTTGTGACCTTGGCTTTTTGTCGCGAACACGGTTCGATGCAAATTACGCGGTTATACAGGTGCTCTAAAAACAGAACCAAAGTATACAGTACGCATATATGAAGTCAATCAACCAGTGCGCACAGTGACAAGTGACACCGTGATGGTAGCACGCACCGTACTCGCAACTACCCACCTCGCACGCCCCAACGCCTTGCTCGAACGACCGAGTTGAAGAAGAGACAGCAAGGGTGTCCGAAATATTGGAGATATGCTGCTCCTGTAAAAACGTGCACACACAGGCACACAAATTCCTCAAGCAGTGTCCAGAGCCCTGGTATGTTCTGGTCCACGGCTCTGGGCGAGCGGCGACCGGAGCCGCAGTGTCGCGCTCGTCGCGGCTTCGACTCTTGACGCCTTCAGATTTTGCCACTGCGGAACAAACACGTCGACAGCCGTCGACTTGTTTTTATTGTTATGTTTATGTTTGCATTTTCTTTCCATGAGGAATATTGCTTAGCAGCGAGAAAAGACGCACACGCACACACACAGAATAGCTTTTAGTTTTTCGGCATAGTCAGACACTTCGTTTCACCTTACGATGTACCGCGGAGGTGGACGATACGAGCTACCTGAGGCAATCCATAGTTCGTAGCCTATCACGTAACTTCGCGCTCCTCCTTGTGTTGCTCCGCCCAAACGGAAGGAGACGTGACACCCTCATGTAGCGTCCTTTGCGGTCCATCGTAAATTGAAGCCAATACGCATACGCACCGACTTGCCGACG